CATTGGCATAGCAAAAAACTTCATCAAATTTTGAATCAAATTTAAAATATCAATAAATTCTTTTGGCATGAGCAACACAACAGATCAGCAAAAAACATGCTAAATGAAAAAATTTCAAAACTACTCAAATCCCATAACTCTCGTTGTCATCTAATAAAATCATGATCATCATTATCATTGTATACGCCATCGTCATTTTCACATAGATATTTCCATATTTCTTGATGATTTTTTTTTTCATGGTGTGAGAATTCAGTTCTCTTATTCAAAAAGTGTAAATTATGAATGAGTAAATATTAAATACTTGCATAGCTCTTTTCCTTCTTCTTCCTCCTCTTCTTCTTTACACACCACACAAACTTTTTTCAAATACACTGTTTCTTATTCGATACAGTCCCTGCTTTGAAATTTAAAAAAAATGAAAAAGAACTGAATTAAAAAATGACGTCATAATTTTTTAGTTTAAAATTCGCATTTTAAAAAAGGCAATGCGGCAGAGAGGGAAAGAGAATCAAGAAAATAAAAAGTTGAAGAAGGTGAAGGAAGAAGAAGAGAAAACCGAAGTAATGCTTTTGGAATGTTGTAAAGTCACTTTTGTGTGATGTGAGAAATGAATTGTTCAAGTTTTGTGGATGAATTTTAATGCAAGCAAGTTATTCTTTTTTCCTTCTCATTTTTTCGTATTGAATTCTTCTTTTTTAAAAAAAAAATTATGTTTGTTCAATTCTGCTTGATCTGTTCTGTTTTTTTTTTTTGCAAAAATTGCGGTTCTAAATGAATTTTGAAAGTTTTATTAGGAATTCATCACTTGCTCCCAAAATGGTATTTTCTTTATAGAAAAAATATGAGTTTTGTGAACGTGGCAAAGATAATAAAAAATATATATTAAGTAATTTTTTAAATACAGCTTTTTCATTATCTATACATCTTAAAAAACATTTAAACGTAATCAATGAAATAAGACGAGCTTGTTGGACTTTGGAATCATTCATTTTATAATGAACTAATACATTTCATATTCACAAAAAAGGTTCGTAAATTGTCTTCAAATTTAGATTCCTATTTTATTTTAAGTGTCATCAACAAATGTTGTCGACTAAAAAATTAAACTTTCTACATTTCTCTTTCCATTTGTCATCAAAATCTTTTTTTCAAATGAAAATGCCACACATTATCAGTTTTTATCCTAAATACTGCCTCAATCAGCAATGAGGTTCAAATTGCAAATGTTCTCACTTTTTTCCTGGATTTATTTGTTACTTCTTCCTTGAAATGGCAGTCTGGCAGTAGTAAACAATTAATGATAGGCAATCTTAAACTCTTTTTAACTGTTTTTGACATCATTGTTGAATGTTTTATTTTTGTCTAATTAGATAAACATTAAAATCCTAATGTACGAGCATAAATGGAATGAAAAAACAAGTATTGGTGTGTCTTTATCAACCTTGTCATTTGATCACTTAAAGTTGTATCTAGGTCTGGAGTGTGTTTTCGGGTAATGTTTTTGGGTTGTATAAGTTTGTTGACAAGTTTTCTTAAAACAGAAAATGTCTGGTTAACAAAAATTTAATCAAGGTTTTGAGCTTTATAATTCAGACTATCACCGAATAATTCAGATATTGAGTCGCAAAGCTTCATAAAATTAGATGTAAAAAATAATTAATTATTCCAATGCAATTATTATTTTATGATCATGAGTAAGTGTTTTGACATTCATGACTCATGAATTACAATTAATTTGCATTGTAAAGTTATAAAAGCTCTCGCGTAAGTTACTTCAATATGAAAACTTTTTCTAGAATTTAATGCCGACACTTTTCTGAGAATTATTTTATTTAACAAGAAGAAATTCAATTAAACGTATTCGACATTGCAACTGTCACAGAGTTTCTGTGATTTTATGAATTTAAATGGGCAATGGTGCAACTGTGTATATTTAAACTAGGCATTTCTTCTTTTGGCTGGCATACGTGATAAAAATTTGTTTCAATAAAGTCACCAAAATGAAGTTTTCTCTGAACAGTCTGAATGATTTCAATAATCAAATTTTTTGAGAAATCGTTTAGATTACTAATATTGAGTTTATGATGTAAAACAAGCTTTAATACTTTATTTTAGTAGTAATTGTGAATAAGCCTAAGCAGAATCATAGTACAAAGATGTTCTGCGAGAACTAAAGCTTAGAAGTGTAGCAAGATTTTTTTAAAACATTAACATAACATCCTTGCTAATTCTAGGAAATTGTTGTTCTTGAATTGTGAATGTAATAAGTAAACTTATCATTCACATAAAATTTTAAAAGTTTTTCTTCTTAAAAGATATGAGTTCAATTGACTTTGACTACATTTAGTCACTGAATGATGTAAACTATTGAGAATCAAAATCAGAATTGAGACAAAAATTCAACTGGAATTATGCAATAGGTATGAATTGTATAATAAAATTCTAGTCATAGTCTTGATATAAATCTCCACATAGCAAGATATATCGTATCGTATCATACAGACCAAGATATTTTCTATCATTTACTTTTATATCAAAGCTATGACACAAAAAACAGTTTAAGAATCAGTGGAATTTTCAAATATGATCAGCGGCTGAATATTTTGAGAATTGTAGGGAAATATCCAAAATTCCATCCTCACCAATAGATGTCACTAGCTTCTATGTGGGACAAATGAAATTTCCTCAGGCACTTGTCAACAGTTTTGAATTTTTATCGTTTTATTAATATTGTTAACATTATAAGTGGTTGGTCATAAAACTGCTGTAAGTACATAAATCACTTTTAATAGTCAATAATTGACACTGTAAATGTCATCATTCTCGTTATATTTCAATTTAAAATTAAAATTTTGAGTATATAACCTGAAATGTAATAAAATGTAGTCAATTGACATGTATTGAGACAGGAAGTAAGAGAAAAGGCTCTGATATGATTTTTTTTTCCTTTGCGATGCATTAAATTTGATTTTTTTTTTATTTTACCACATTTGCAATTCTTCTCCTTATTGAAACGTAAATTTTTACTTTTTTGTCATCATCGTCATTTAAAAGATTTACATTTACACAAAATGTTCCATTATAATTTTTTCTTGGTACTTTTAATTAAATTCTATAATTAAAGCAAAAACAATAACTTAAAACAAAATATGGTTCTCAATTCATAAAACTATATAAACAATGTATTTGTCATTATTGGTTCCTTTAATTCCTAACCTGAGTCGAGTATTAATTTTTTTAGCATTAATTCAAGACTTTTCTTCTCATTCAAGAAATCAATTTTAATCTATTCATTCTTAATTAATTATTTGTCGTCCAACACATGGAATTTGACATAAAGAATTTTTACCGACAAATTCTCAATCCTTAAAACTTATAAAATTTTTAAAAAAAATTTAAAGCATTTCTACCTAAGATTTTTTTGAAAAAATTTCTTCTTCTTATTCTTTCGAAGAGTCAAGAATGTTCTTTGTTTAACTATTAATTATCACGAGATTTGACTATTTGACTAAGAATATAACGCAATTTAACAGCATTAAGTTAATTATTTTATTTTAAAACTATTCAGGTTCTTCAAAGCTATTCGACATTGACTTAAAACCAATCATGGACAAGAATCTAATCGAATCTTCTCCCGAATGACATAAAATGGCTTTCAGGATTAGAAGCAAGTTAAATCTGGTTAGATTGATTTTTTTAAAAAAAAAATTCTTGCAAAAGTTTGGACACATATTCCTAATTTTAGATCATCCAATTTATCTCGATTTTTCTACAAAATGTAATAATTGTTTTTAACTGCTTTAGGATTTTCCTTTTTTTTAAATTGAATATGACAACAATCAGTCTAAGGCTTTTTTGATAAAGTTTGAAATCTTATGATCATTAAAAGCCAAACTTAAGTTTTATAATTACTAGAAAGAAATCCCGAAAAAATTTCCAAATCAATATAGATTTTTCCAGTAGATCACCAGCTACAAAAAATTAAATATTGAAAAATCTAAGTCAATTTTGAAAATTTAAGATTTCATGCTAATTTTCATCCGGTAATTGATATTTTATGGCAAGCGTAACATTTTCCTTGGTTTTTGGAAATTTAAAAGTTGTTTAAAACAAATTAATAAGTTGAAGTCATTTACAAGTCTATTATTTCTTAATTAATTTACATCCACAAATGCTTTACTTTTTTTGCAGGCAATAACGCAATTATTAATTTATATGCCAATTAGGTTTAGTGATTTATTTGATATTTATTATGAGATCATTTATAGCTTGTATAGGTAATAAAAAGGAACTTAAAGAAGCTAATTCTTTATACTAAATTCTACTTCCTATTTGTTTAACTTTATAAATACTACGTGACATTCATTGAGGAATCAAAAGTGACTAGATTATTTTGCATAGGTGAACATCAGTTGAATTTACATTCTATCGAAAACACTACTTTTACATAAATCTCTTCCCTTGATTTTGTTTTTGGAATGAATGATCAAAAAGCAAGTTTTTGAATTATAATTCTCCTTTCAATTCACGTCGCAAAATAACTAGTTTATACTGTCAATCAAAATTGATCGTTTATGACGTCACATTTTCAGTTGTTGGGTTAGTAACAGAAAATTTCGTGTCTTATCCAATACAAAATAGGATGCAAATTAATTCTGAGAAGTAATAAATTTCAATGGAATTTGTTTCTTTTGTATAGACTTGTCTCATGATAATGAAATTAAGATGGAAGAAATTTTTTCAGTTTGTTCATTTGTAATTTGCACATTTGTCGTACTTAATAATTAATAACTAATTTAAATAATAAGCAATAATTTAAGGTTTGTGAGAAAGGAAATACTTAATGAATTATAATAGTAACTTTAAAATTAAGTAAATTAATGGTAAAAACATAATGAATAATTAAGTAACTTTTATCTTAATTTAAGAAACTTCCTTATTAGAATTTCTCCGTATTTCATAATTCATTGTTGAATATCATTATAATTAGATATACAATTTTTTTTAACATTTATGAGCGAGTGCAATGAAATTCTTTTCGTACATTCAAATATGGACATAGAAAAAAATTGTTGAGAGTATGACTTGTTGGCAAAAATATTTTGTTATGAATTATTTACTCCTTACTATGACTCCTTTTCAATGCATATACAAATGTTGATGCAACGTCCTTTGTCTTTCCATCTTTCGCCAGACAGATGTATGTACCCATGTCTTGGAATTGAAGATTTGTTATCATAAGCTCACCATTTGATAGCACTTTGAATCTGTTATTGTGGAAATCAGTTGTTATAATTTTTTTTGAATATTTTTATCAAATAAATTCCAACAAACCTTGAGTCCTGTCCTTTTATCACTTGCTCCTTTGTATTAATCCAGTAAATTTCGGCATTGTTTGTTGCTTTACATGGAAGGAATACTGTTGATCCAATATTATCGAAAAGACTATCATAGTACTCGAAAATTTGAACTTTGTCACTTCCAGTAAGTACTTTAATCATATCATTTGAGTCTAAATGTGAACCTGAATGGTGATTGAAGTGAACGGTTGTAGAGGCTTTAGCGATTTTTCCTCCACTCTTTCCAACGCATGTGAATGTACGTTTTGCTCCATTTTGTGGGATGTGCTGTGGTCTAACAATCAATTTTGCAACAACGGTAGCAATACCCGATGGGCTTCTCTCCATGATCGTGTTTGTCTCAAAATCATCATTCTACATTTTATTTTTAAAAAAGGAAACAAGACAAAAAGAAATTCATAAGAAATGAGCAAAATTCAATTAAAACTTTCAATGTATTTCATCACATTACAAAAGATCTGAAATGTATGTATCCCCAGAAGACAAATGACCGTTGTGTCACGTGAAATTTTTCTATTTGAAAGTCTATTTTTATAATTTTTTGCCTCAAGATTTGACATGCGGATTATTCTACAAGTAGTTGTAGCGCATTTACCTCTTAAAAAGCAATGAAGCATAAACTTGCTCCATGCTTTAAAATTCAATCTTCAATCCGCATGAATTATCGAAATATGTGATTAACAGACATGAACCTCTGGATTTTGCATGTTAAGGAAACAAAATTTGTGATAAACTTACGTTTCTTGATCCAGTTCCATGAACCCATTCAACAGTTGGAACAGGGTAGCCAGATACTCGGCATTCAGCTTCAATGGGCTCATCTGGATAGTAAATGTCCTTTTTCGGCATTTCTGATCTGCATCAAGTAAATTATATTTCTTGTGAGTCATTGAAGTTTAACACTGTCAGCTTTTATATTACATGCAAATTATATTGAACAGTCGCTGACGAAATATTCATAGAAAATTGCAGAGATACTTACATTTCAACATACTCATTTCGTTCAGCCTTAACATATTTGTACATATCATCATCATCATGTTCCTCTATTGGTATTGAATCCACGACATTGTTATCTGTGTATTCCTCTGAATCATATGATGGTATAGGAGGACGTGCCAGCACTGACGTGGCAAGTGTAAAAATGAAAACTAAAAGTAATGCAACTGCCGATGATGTCTTCATATTCATCTCTGTGTCAGTATTAAATGAAATGGAAAGGAATAACGAAAGAATTTACGATTAATTTAATTCAGTTATGCAATCATTATGTTCTTCATGTCATGCCTTCTTATTCTCAAGACTCAGCATATAACATTAATAAATGGACATACAGTTTAACAAGAATGAAATCAGAATACAAAAATAGAATGAAATGAAGTAGAGACATGAAAGTTGGAAATGCAAAAAGAACATCACATCACATTCTTACCGTTTTTGGCACAAATTGAGAGTTAGCAACAGATGAAAAAATTTCTCTTTTTTTATTTTTAGGATTTCTTTTTTGTTTCTTTCAATTGTAATCTTCAAATACTTTTTAATCAAATTTTCAGCCCTTCAGCTATCAATTCTTATTCCTTTCGTCGTTATCTTCTTTTCTCGTTTCTTCAACTTGACAATGGATGTGATTTTTTTTGTCTCGAAAATTTTTCTCTTCCTCAAGTTGATCTGACTTGATTTTTTTTCCCTTCACAAAGAATTCTTAATGATAAAATTCTTTAATTGATTTGAAGAAATTTTGGTTTAAATCTAATGTTATGTAACGTTTGATGTATTAAGGTAATTATAGTCAATATTTCGTCGAATTTTCATTAATGCTATCTTATTGTTATACAACATAGGGAACGCCTTATTGTCGTCTACCACTTGAATGTTGAGCGTTCCTTGTTCTTCACAATTAATTTCTCTTATGCTTTTTCGTATTCTTTTTAACGATAATTAAATTCTTGCTTTGATTTTATTTTATTTTCTTATCTTTCGTTTTTTGTCTTCGGGATTTTTTTTTTCGAAGAAATAATTTTTTTACTCCAGGATTTTTATTTCTTTTGACTTTTTCAATGACACATAAAAATATTAAAAATATTTGTAGCGCCGCTTTATGTGTAAATTTGCTTTAATTAACCATTTAAACTGATAAGCAGTCAAATAAATTTTTAAAAATTATTTTACAACGTTTTAATTTGTCGAATATAAAAAATCGCGTGGTTTTCAGAAGCTAGTACGTTTCACGTCTTACTTCATCAAGAGATTGTACAAAACTGACGATAAGTCGGTTTTTTTATACATTCTTCTATGAATGAAATGCATTTGATTATTTCTTTACTACTCGAATGATATACACATTCATGTATTGCCGACCACCGTATGTTTGAGCATGTGTGTGTACTGTTCATTCATCTATATACAAAAGCATGTCTTTTTCTTAGCATACGACTATGACGACAACAAAAACTATTATAATATTTATAGTGTCACATTTTCTTTCTTTCATTACCTTACTTTCAAGAAATTTCTAATACATTAAGAATGAGCATCATCATGCCTATGTGCTAGGGAAAAGAAGACAAAGTAGAAAAAAATGAAGATAAGAACTTTTGGGGGCAAGTCAAACAGGAATCTCGATGAATATTATTGTGTTTCGAATTTACTCTTAAATGATTGCTTCTTATTCACTCTAAATTTTTTGCTTTTAAATTTATTCATGATCGGATGAATGAAAATCTGTAGACACCAAATTCAAATGAACTGTCAAAATTTCTAGTAATTTATTCATTAAGGAATTTCACAATATTGTGTAAATGTGATGACTCTTGAAATTCAAAAATAAATTTTCCGTTATAAAATTTAAATTTAACATCTTTTGAGCATTTCGATAAGAACTTTTTTTTGTCAGTTCTGTACGGTAAATTAAATATTGTCATTTCTTTTGCTGTCATTCTTTATCGTTATGATCGAAGAAAATTATGTTTCTGTATTTCCTCCTTTTTCATCACATATGTGTATTTATTTCAATACTATTGTATTTAAATCGGTATTGGGCAATCACATGATGTTCTCTTTCTCTCTGTTTCTTTAATTCTTCTTTCACTATATAGTTTGTACAATTTTATATGCTATAATCAATGTTAATTTTGTCATGACTTTGAAAAGATTCAGCTAATGATCAGCACGTTCAAGTATTTTTTTTCTCCTTCTTTCTTTATTTCTTCTTCTGTGCCGTGTTAATCCATTACGTTTATGATGATTATTTGGAACCTACTTAGTCTTAATTATTACCCTTGAGCATGGAATCACAATTTTATGTGTTACTTATTAGCAGAAGAATAATTATTGAAAGTTTTTTCATCCACAAAACTAGAAGCAAAAAGCAAGACTACGAGACATGATAAGGTTCTACGTACAATAGACTAACTCATTCATATATGAATGAATTTGTTTTACTTATCGTGAAATTTTTACGATTAAATTTTTTTCATCATGCTACGAATGAAAAAAAGAGCTAAGGAATTTTTCCGTGACACATGAGAATATATTTGTATTTCTCGCGTTTTTTCATGCCTTTTTGACGTAAGTAAAAGAGAAATGTGATGAGAAAAAATGTCATGTCTCACGATGATCACGAGGAATTATTCAAGTTTGTTCGCCTTTTTGTTTTACTAGATTTTTTATTTTAATTTTAGAATCTTGTGCTTGTCAGCTCATCTGCTAATAGCTGATGTCCTCATTCTCTTATCATCCATAGCTTTATTTGAGTATTTGCTTATTTGATAAAGGTGCGTTTATTTGATTTTTTTTTTTCAATTTCCAGGATATTCAGATTGATTTTGGTTTTTTATTTGCGTTATTCTAGACTTTTTGAGCCATTAATGTGCTAATATCAGAACATAGAATTGAATTGAATTGAAAAAAAACATAGACCTTTCAGGAACTTCTCGTAAACTATCTAGATTCTCCCGAGATCTCGTTTTTATCTTAATAACGCTTAATTTGTGTTTAGAATTTTAAAAGAGATAACACATTGGATATTATACAGAATAAATGTCGACTCGACTAAATTTCATACAAAATGTGTGTCTCCTTTGAGATCTAAGTTCTATTATTTAAAAATCAAATAATATCGAAGCTAAAATTAACGTAAAAAGGCATCAATCTGAATTCTCTAGAAACAAATGGAAACATCAAAAAACTTATCAATCAAGCAGCATTGAAAGTAAAAGGAAATGATAGCTAACACGTTCAGTCATGTTTGACAAACATATGAAAAGGCTTTGCCCCCAACGTGAACATATAATGTGCTCAATATTCAAGTTAAATACAGTTTTAGTCGGATTACGACGAAGATAACCTTGAGGTCTGAGAATAATTTCTTCTGTTCGATGCAAGATTGCAACTTTATTGCGTATAGACGGATTTTTTACCTGGCATTGACAAACTACCAAGAAATGAGGGAATTGCGACAGATGTTTTTTTACTCTACAAAAAAAAATCTCGGAAATGTCTTTAATCATTTTTTTAATTTTTTTTTTCAATTAATAAATCGTTTGTGTTTAATTATTTTTGTTGTAACTTGCATGCTATGCATTTCCACACATAGAAAATTTTGATTTTTTTTGGAATAGACTCTATTTTACCTTATTTAAAATTTTTTACTATTGCATCATAATTTTTTTTAAATTAAAACATTTTTTTTGTAAGTTCCATTGAAAATCCATTTGTCATATCAATATAATGTTCATGTACGTCTGCGCTGATGACGAGACGTTAAGCAATGAACAGATAACTGATATTTGTTCGGCATATGTTTTACAAAGAGTGACAGAGCAAGAGTGACTAAAATTATTGACTCGAGTATGTGACAAAATATTACTAAGTCATTTTAATGAATGAAATGAAGCAGTTTGAACGAGTTAAGTAGAAGCATGTGATATACACGTTTCTGTGCTGTGTGCTTTAAATTGCTTTTTCTCCTCTTTCTTATTTCGTTTGTAATTGCCGTGAATCGTGTTCATACATTAGTTCAGTTCATAAATGCTCACTTTTACTATTTAAAAATTGCATCAGACTTTTGTAGGAAGTTTTACAAATTTTTTTGTTCATTATTGACAGCTTTTTTCTGGTGATTTTTGATGTTTAACATGAACCTTATCTATCTTTTTTCATATTTTAGACCGGAAATGTTAAAAAACCTCTGAACCATTGACTGAGAATCGAGAGATACGAGGTTCGAATCTCGCTTTTTTCCACATTCTTTCATAAAAAAAACAAATTTTAAATCCCACTGATTTTTTCTCAGGGAATCGCAAGACACAATCAATCATTTTTATTTAGTCTACAATCATATGATTTTTTTTTTTCGTTTCATGCTTAATTTAAAGGAAGTCTGTGAACTCAAAAAATTCAATTGAAAATGAATGATGAAATTAATCGACATTTAAAAGTCAGTAAAATATTAATTTGACTCAAGTAGAATTAAAAAAATGATTATAGACTATTAAATAATTAACAGAGGCTTAGCAAGGGCATTGGTGCTGGGTGCCATATCAATATTTTGCAACCCTTTGTGTGGAATTTCATGAAGTAATTTTTAAGGTTTTTATGGTGCAAAATCTCGTTTGCATTTCCTACTACGCCACTGCATTGCAATAGGAAAAACTGTAACTTAAAATTTTCCTTTAATTCATTTAATAAGTAATTGCTGATTACATATCATGAACGTTTGGAAATTTTCTACTTTATAGCATTTTTCACATGAAATTTACTACGAATTTGATCTCGTAAAACTTCGAATGGAATTTCTACCTGATATCATTCTAGATAGACTTTTTTAACAAAAAGGAATTAACAAGCATTGTTAAAAGCTTAAAGCATGTAATTTTTTCACCAATATTAATTTGAAGTCATTACAAATCTTTCTTTCATATCGAAATGAATGAAGTGAACAATTCCAAAGAATAAGCACGAACAAGTTTTTTTTTTCAATTCCTGAACATACAATAATATTCATTTGAAAAGTCGCATAGCAACTGTTACTATTTTTCAACTAAAAGTGGTAGGTAAAGCTTTTATTAAATGTTCAATATTTAATATGCCGGCTTTTTGATATATTAGGTAAGCTTTCTTATAATCCCTTAGTCAAATGAAACACAACATAAATGTTATGAATTCTACTTGAAATTGTGAATTACATTAACACTATTGAATTTATTGATTCGAACCAAGGAACAAAGAAATTTGAGTTCTTAGAAATATAATAAGATCATGAAATTAAATTCTTGAAAACTTATTAAGAACTGCAAACAGATCTGACTTGTTAATTCTCACATGTCTTGCTCGAGTCACCAAAATTTTTTTTTATCACATTTCAACAGCAGTTGGTTTTTATCTGATATTTCTCAATATTTTACGTACACCAATTTAAATGCACTGATATGCACAAAAAGATGCAATCAAATCCTGCTCAATCAACATTCAATTTGTGTGTAAATGCATAAGATATAATGATTAATTGGCGTGCCAAGTTGTCGTTCGGAACTCACCATACTCTTTTATATAGAGTTGCAAATTTAAGAATGGAAAAAGGCGAGTAAGAGAAGTATGTGAAGATGTGCAATAAAAGAAAATAGAATGGTAGCTGCTTGGGCTAATTTTCCTTAGCATGATATGATTGTTATAATAACAGGTAAGAGAATAATGATAATAATGACGAAAGGAGTAGTAGGTGAGAAAGTGTGTGCATTTATATTCCGAGAATTATTATTTTTTTATCTCTTTCTTTCTCCATTACTGTTTCTTTCATCAACCATCATCATTATCCGGCAAATATATGCAATTAGTAACATGTGTGATGATGTAATAATAGCATATGTCGTACGATGTGCAATTGAAAATGATAAAAGACATAAAATGAAATTGACATACATGGACAATTTATAAATCACAATCAAATGAAAATAAAAAATTGTTCTGATTTCTCTTTTTTTTCTTTTCTGACTTTTTTTCTCACCTTTTGAATTAATTTTTGACGTAATTTTTAAAAATTCTTTAATTTCGAATTATTTTTGTAACGAATAATTTTTTTAAATTGTTTTTAATCCTTTAAACTTTTTTATTTGATTATATTAATCACTTTTTGGGAACTTCACAAAAATTATT